TGGCTGCTACTTATAATTTTTTGTTTTTCTACTCTTCCTCTCTCTCTAATTCTTCAGCTTTCAGTGTTTGCCACCACCCAAAGTCGGTGCCCGTTTGCCACTAGTCAAAGCCGGTGTCTGTTTGCCTACTGCCCAGGCGGGAATCACCATCATCACGGCCTATAAGCCTACCCAGACTACCCATCACCTCCCTAAAATCCCAGCCACCAACCATCGTCAACCCAGAACAACCATCAAACACAACCCTTAAGCCAAAATTACCATCAAATACAATCCTTAAGCCTACTCGGACTAGCCATCACTACGCCAAAAACCCAAACCCAGCCACCTACCACAATCAAAAGACCCAAAAACCAAATACCCAAATCACCACCCAATTGGCCCCTAAACTATTGTGTTTTTTTTTTTTTCTCAATGGTCCCTAAACTATTATAGATTATTACTCTCACCTCCTATCTTTGACTCATCATTCACGTCACATGACGAGAAGATCATTCTCGTTACATCACGAGTAGATATCCCAAACCAATCGCAACTCGTTGGGCCAAAAGCCGAACACCCATCAAAGTCTCCTCTTTGTACTTTGTAGCATGCTTAGCTTTGAATGACTTGGAAAAAGTTGAATAATTTGTCTATGCCTTTTCTCAAAGCTTACGCGTAAGACAACTGGCTGAACGAGATTAAATCAGGCTCCATTTGGTGTCCCACAAAGTATCCAAAATTCCAAAGGGCCTTCAAACAATTAAAAGAAGGAAATCAATAAATTAAAAAAAAAAATTAAAACACGGTTAGATTTCGGCAGGCTACTTGCCAGGAAAATGCAGATTCCAATGGAACTAATGGTTAGAAATTTAAAAAGAAAACAAAATGTAAAATCAGCATGCTTGTTTGCATAAATAAATCAAATAAAAAATATACCAAGCAAAATCTAAAAACCACCTACCAATAAAAAATGTTAATTAACATTAGCAAAATGCAGCAATGCTAAAAATCACAAGACTCTGTAACAAAAAAAAAAAAAAAAGGAAGTCATAAAAATGAAAATATATCTGGACACTCGGTTTCTGCCTCAGAATTTGACGTGTGAGAATCTTCCTATGATATTTCCTCTTTCCTTTTCAACGAATCAATTTTGGCTAAAAAAAAAAAGAAATTATTAAAAGATTTCTTTTTTTTTTTTCAAATAATAATTTAATTTAATAATGCAACTTCTCCAATCGTTTATATATTCCTCTCCTCCACTTTCGCAGTAATAAAAAGGAATAACATAAGGAACTCAACAAGCAGTGTACTGGAAACTACCTTTAAAGAGAGTTAGTCAATGGATTTTGGAATGGGCAAGTAATTAACATGAACATTTAGCCATCGTTGAGAAAGTTTGTTGACAATTATTATTTTTTCTCCCATTTTCATTTTTTTTATTCTCCCGAATCTCACACTCATGATTTCAAATTAAGCATATTATTGTTCAAAGATTAACAAATAAAAATTATCAAATTTTAAAATTTTAAAATTTCATTGTCAAACCCGATAAGATAATACATACTCATTAATATATAATAAAAATAAAAAAATGAGACCAACTTAATGGTTAGTCCTTTGATCCCTTGACAGTAAATTGTATGTTGAAAGTTTTTTTAGCCCATCAAAGATAAGAATGGGCTTAAAAATATAGGCAAATGTGAATTGGTTGACTCCGGTTGTAAGAAGGTAATCTTGACCGCTTTTTATGAAATTTTCGCATTGTTTAGAACGTGAACCAGACCAAGAAGTTGAGGTTACATGACCAACTTATCCGCTAACATGAGCCTACAGGAGCAACAAGAGCCATTGGACTACAAAGCCGTAGCTATACAATTATTAACTGCATAGGCCCAATAACTCTCTAGATTGATCTTAGTTTCCTATTTTGGGTTTGCATATATACAACATAAAAAATATTGGTTCGATCTCATACTCTCTGAGCCCAATCCAAATGAAGAGTGATAAAAGGAAAAAAATGGCAACGAAAATCTCAAGTTTACTGTTTACATCGTAAGAATTGGATGAATTTATTATAAAGGAAGAATATCTATTATTTTATATATATCAGTTGTGAAATTTTAGTTTGATAATTATTTAAAAATTTTATTTCTTAATTATAATGGATTTTTATGATGAATTTCATAATCTAAAGAGATATGAGTTGAGGTTAGGTGAGATCTTGAGATATCTTGATACATATATGATCCCATGAGACATGTATAGTTGGGGCACCATGTTTCCACTTCAATAAATTGTACCATCTTTATAGGCAAAATGGTATCAAATTGTTAAAAGATATGTGTTTTTTTTTTTTTTTTTGCCAATTTAAGAGATGTGCTTGAAAAATAGTTTTTTCATGGTGTAATAGAAAAAAGAATTAAAGTTTGGTTCAAAATGAATTATCAACTAATCAAAATTCTCAATATATACAAAAGCATTCAACCACTCAAAGAGATAAATATTCTAACCCAAAGCTTTGGTTTCTATTTTTTTTCTCAGCCAATAATAGATTTTCATTAATAACAGATATGGCAATACCATCAACTCATCCCTAAAACATCAGAGTCCAAAAATAGAGTGGTGATCAGAGTCCAATACTATTTTGTAGTCTCTTTATCGAAAGAATGGTGATAAAATTCTTTTTTTTTTCTCAAAATAAAATTAAAAGAAAAAAAATGTGGTACTTATATCATCTAGAAAAAATATTTTAGTTTAATACTTTTTATATGGGGGAAAAGTGGTTAATTACTTAAATCCCAGATTTAATCAAATTAATTTATATTATCACTTTTAAAAAGTGATATTTAAAAAACTAAACGAGACTCCTGTAGAGGAACGCATGCTTCAACTTTGCGATTTCTAAGGTTACCCCAAAAGGTTTAGTCTTTCTCTCTTTATCTCTCTCGTGTAAGATCAAATTAAACTCTAAATAAATAGAAAAGTAAGTGGGCACATTTAAGAGAACTACCAAAACCCCTAACTTAATTAAAGCAGTTTCTTTTAGAGATTAAATTAGAGTTTATCTTTGTCATTAATAATGAATCCAAATGAGGAATCAAAAGTAGGTCAAATTGCAGTCTTTACAACTAATTTAACCAATGATCTACACTATTTCTTAATGCACGTGGACACCAAAAGCCCTATCAAGATTTTTATTTAGTTTCAACCTTTTGTATGATTTAATTTTTAGGTTTATTATTGTTTTATAATTCTAATCTTTACAGCGTGTTTGTGTGTATATACAGTCTGTTTGTTATTATGATTAGCAAGGATGATCACATGGGCATGCCACATTCTTTTATTTTATTTTTAATAAGAAAAATGATTTTTTTTTTTTTTTGCAATACTAAGGAAACAACACCACTATCATAGAGTAGAATATATAAACGCAGTAGTAATCAAGATTATAATAGTAAGACACCCAACTTGAGATATTGTAAGTAACTTATAGTATCGAATAGGAAAATATTTTTAACTTCACAATTCTGGAAGAAAAGGGTATATGATCCTTTAAACTGTAGATGTGTTATTAGAATTAAGGGATGTCACAAACATTTATTGATGAGAAAATGTTTGGTTCAAACCTCAAAGGAATCTATTTAGTTCTGACAGCCAAAAAGTGTTGTCCACTACAAGAATTTCTTATGGGTAATACAAGAAAAATATCTTTGTTGAGGGAAACGATGTCACGTTTAATAGTTAAAGATGCAGGCTTTCAAGCTTCAAAACGAACAATATTTTATAACAGACGCAATTCAATAATCTTTATATTAATAATATTAACCGTTGCTTCAACATTCTGCGCTCAAAGTTTGGCCAAAATGGTTATAGGGTCAACATGGAAGGGATTTTATGGAATCTCTCATGCATATGATATTTTGGTTCCCACTAGCGTTTCCATGTACTGCAATACTTCACTTATCTGAGTCTAGCTTCACTGTACAGAGTGTTGCGCAGTACGTATGCACATAGAGTAATACTAATCCCTTCTGTTTACAAAAGAAAATGTTCATATTTTTCTAAGATTACACTAAATATCAAACCCCCAAATCCTTCATTGGAACTTCAAATCATTATGAATAACTGCAAGAAATAACATCTTAAGTGAAATAAATAAAGAACAAGAAGTTAATCTGTCAAGTAACTTGAAGTGTTGGACTATGGTTTTTATATATATATACTTGCCTTGAAAGAGTGCCTTTGGATCGTTTACCGAAACGTCCAGAAAAGATTTGTATTTGATAGATATGCCAGTCGTCGCATAATACAAACCATAAGGAACTGCAGATTATTAGAGACAAAAAGGAATGGCAAGTGACCTTGTATTACTTTGCTCTTCAATCTTTTGAATCATGCAGTTAATGATATTGTATTTGATAGATATGCCAGTCGTAGCAGAAAAGAAATACTTCTAATGAACATTTTATGTTTTAAAATTTTTTTGAGTTTCGCAATAAGCCGATGGAGTACCAATAAAGTAACAATAGGCAAAGAACGAGCTATAAAAACCCATGAATGTATTTCACAAAATATTTTTACGAACATTAATTGGGGAGATAACAAATTCCTTTGTCTTGGACTAGACTCTCTCCTCCCAAAAGCCCAATCCTTTTGGATAGTTTTTTTCTTCATTTTTTTTTTCATTATTTTAACTTTATAATGATTATTTTTTTCCCTTCCAAACAAAACTCAAACCGTTTTTGTTGCAAACCAAACTTTTATTAATAATGAAAAGTTGATACAAAGTAGGGCCTGAAAAACCCCGACGCCACATAACAATACTCAAAACACAAGGTGCCTCAAACTGAAATTGAAACCAAAGACATGTCAAATAGAGAAACCAAACTAATTATTAAGAAGCTGAAGTCTTTCCAGGATAGAACTTTCTGCCGCGATTCATGTTAAAATACCATCTGTCTGCAATGCGAAGATTAACATGGAGATGGAGCAATACTGCTCCATAAGAAACTGTTGACCTAGTTTTGAAGGGAATCGCCGACGCCAGGACTGTGTCCAGGAGTTTTGGGCCTGAAGTCGTGTACATTTTTGGGTGGCGGGGCTTGGGTTTCTCCTGTAACCACACTTGGTGGTGAAGGTGGGGACTGCGTGTTCGCAACAGCTGCTTTAATGTTAACACCATTAATTTTTGGATCAGGAATTATCCGTGCTAGGTTTTTACCGTAAGGTTGGACCTTTCGGGAACTGTGGTTTCGGTCAAATATCAAATGCCTTCCAACAACGCATTGAATTTCCAAGACGAAAACAAGCAAAAGGAGAACAAGAATGGAGAGTAGTTTCTTCTGGGCCATAATGTGAGGTTTTTGTGAATGAATATATGAGTGGAAAAAAGGGAGGGGAGATAGCCAAGCAATTAACTAGGCAAATCTTTGGTTGAAGTATGGAAAACAAGGAAGAAGACTCACCTAGCTAGTAGCAACTTTGCTTATAGACCTCTTCCTCCCCCTGGCTGCTATTTATAGAAGATCAGAGAGCAAGCAAATGGGGGGTCGAAACTCGAAACACTAACAAATAGGATTTCTCAGAGGGACAATGTACAAAAATTAAATAAAGGAGTAAAAATTCTCACTTCTTTCTTCACATGCGGGCACAACATAGAGCTTATGGTATAATCACTCTCACAAAAGTACTTTGCATGGACCATGCAACTGTTTATTATTTATTTAATCGCCTTTTCGTCTCTTCTTAATATTTAAAGAATGATATAGTGCAAAATAACCCTTATATTTTTTGGTGTTGGATTAATTAATACTAGCAACAATCTATTCAATGTTGCCAAGTGAAGATTAGTCCAGATGGCATACATATTAAACAAATTCTTGTCAGTTACAATAAAATTTAACTATTTAAGTGAATTAAGTAAATAAGGATTGGTGATTTGAAAGATAAATTAAGAATAAAAAACAATCTTTACGGTACGCATGCAAACTAAAAATTATGGTAATTAATTAATGAACATCATGGTCCGGTTGTATGATTTATTAGAGTTTAATATATCACGGTGTATTAATTAACTTCTTCTCCCCAGCACCTCGCTATTAAGGTTTATAAAACGTTTTGTGTTTAGAATCTTTTATTGTTTAATTTGTTGGGTAGCATGAACAGTGTCTGTTCAGACAAGGTGTTCAGCTTTCCTAGTGGAAATCCTAGCTGTTTTTAAACCCATTCTCTCTGTTTTGTATGTTTGTAGCTTTAAAAAGTGAACTCATCAGCTAGGTTTTTAGAAGCTAAAAATCATTTGCAAATAAATTAGATAATTTAAAATATGATATGATAGTATAACATGACAATGATATAAAAAATATATAAAAGTGATACGATTTAAAATTTTAATAAAAATCATATATAAATTTAATAAACTTAAAAAATTTATTTTATATTTTTTATATTGATATAAGTTATTAGGGGTATAAATAAACAGTACTTTTGATAAATTATTTGTGAACATGTTCGATTTCTATTCGTTTATTTTTGTTTGTTAAGCTTAATAAATGATCTTGAACAACATTTTTATGTTTATTTATTAAATGAACTGAATACGAATAGAGGTATATTAGGTTCATTTATGTTCGTGAATAAACTCGTTTAAAGTTCGTTTAAAACTTATTCATTTATTGTTCGTTTGTTATTCGTTTATAATAATACTAATAAAATTACATTTTTATCTTTTACTTTAATCCTATTTTAAGGTTTGTTTAGGTTCGTTTGTTTAATATTTGTTTGGTTTGTGATTTGTTTATTGTTCATGAATATATTCCTTTATATATGTTCGTGAATATGTTCACTTAATGTTTATGAACGAGCTCATTTAACTTAATTGAATCGAACAAAAAGAACTTACTATTTAAACGAACAAAACATGAATGAATAAAGCAATTTTCTTAGTGAACATGAATTGAACACGAAAATCTTTAAAAATAAACGAACAAACCACAAACATACGGTCGTTCATTTATATTTGGTTCGTTTACAATCTTATAAATTGTGACATGTAATTTTAATATAAACATAACATGTTCGTTTAATGTTTATGAACAATCTCGTTTAACTTAATTGAATCGAACACAAATAACCTACTATTTAAATGAACAAAACATGAACGAACAAAGCAATTTTGTTAGTGAACATGAATCAAACATGAACATCTTTAAAAATAAACAAACAAACCACAAACATACGGTCATTCATTTATATTTGGTTCATTTATAACCTTATAAATTGTGACACGTAATTTTAATATAAAATACAACGTGAATACACAAAGTAGGAAGGAAGCTATGGTTGGATTCAATCTTATATTGATGCTATTTACAGGGTCTAATAGGTTAGGGAAAAGGAAAAAAAATTATAGGAAACCAGAGAGAGGGGTTGAAAGTGTGCAACATATGGGTTGTGAGAACCAAAAGGCAAAATGTGAGGCATTTTTATAAGTAACTAATGTGTAAAGCCCAACTTCGCACAATTTGTTACAATAATTTTCTATAGTCTATTGAATTGAAAACTTATTAATGGTCAATAGAAGCTAAAAAAAGCCAGTAAAAGTAATTGAGTTAAACATAAAAAAAAGGGCACCTAGGTATACTGTTCCATCTTTAATTGTTTTGTGATGCTTTCTAGCTTGCATAAAGACAATAGCAACAATGATCACACTAAGTTCAAACTGAAACAAAAAGGTAAAAGTTATAAATTTTGGTGTAACCATTCTGTTAGAAACGTTGATTAAAAAAAAAAAAACAATGCTACTCACTTAAAACATTTGAAAATATGCAAGAACACATTTATTGTTTCCCTACTATGGTGTTATCACAAAATTCCACGATTGTAGGATAAAATGGGAATAATAATATTTGAAATAATGATATTCCCAATAACTTTCCTTTCAAAATCCTGATCAATCCAATTCAAACAACTAACTCTCCAATTTATCTAGAAATAAATGTTTATGCAATAGCTAAAACCAAGTTTCACATTATGCTACTTAAAACAATCATATTCTAAGAGTCTCAAATTTTAGCTTCTTAACTAAAGCTCACTTCTCATAAAACCCAAAACAAAGAAGCAAACAACATAATACTAATCCAAAAGCTTAAAAGTAATCTAAAAAGCAAAGAGAAAGTTCATACAAAAATAAGAAAAAAGAAAAAGAATGCATGAGCTAAAACTACTTTAACAATACAAAGAAACTGAGAGGATCAAAAAATCTAAAAGAAAGAAATGCCCAGACTATATTTACCTTTGATCTTGCTTTTCTTGATCAAATTTTTGAATTTTAGAAGCTGAAGACTTTAATTAGCCATACTTTAAATATATCAAAAAGTTAGTTTTTCTAATTAAAAAGAAAAAAAAAGAATAAAAAAGAATCATTAGGTGAACATACAGGTAAACTAAATCGATAATTAAAATTGAGATTGATTAGACATATATCACTTACCTTATCTATTTTACCAGGGTCTAAATCCTCAAAGTTCTTCAAAGTTAAAAATGGGGGCATCGTAAATCTGCAACTTAATAAACCCATAACTATTTGTCAAAATAGGAATAATAATTTAAACCTAAAGCCATCTAATAATTTTCTTGGAAATTAAACAATGATATGGAAAAACTTACATTTATCAAGAGCAATATCAATTCCATCAATAATAGCAGTAGGCCTAAACAATGATATGTATTCTTTAAAGGTTTATTAGTTTGATTTATTTGATTTATGGTTGGTTGTTTTGTATAGTTTGATTTATTGTTTTTGTGAAAATATCAATAAAGAAATCTAAGAGAAATAATGCAAGAAGGTGACCCAAGAATCTGGTGATGATCAAGGAATACAATGACAGGTAAGATGGAGGAAAGCTGAAATGTAAGGCATATACTATTCTTATTCTTGAAAGGCAAAAACTTAGCTTTTTGTTGCTTGAAAAAAATTATAAGGACTGTAAAAAAAGAAAAAACTTTTGGGATTTAAATGTTTCTAAACACAACTCATTAAGACAAAGATAGCTTATTGTGAAATACCACTAAAGTAATTAAAATAGAAACTAAAAAAAAAAAAAAAAACCAAATTGATTAACTTTAAAAGAGCTCACTTTAGATCAAAACAACATTAAAAGTAAGCCTATAACCAATCTAAATACTTATGAACAATCAAAATCAAAATTCACCTTAAACTTAAATGTTGTAATACTTGAAACAATCTTTGTAGTTGCAAAGCACTGAACAACCAATAATAAAACTAACTTTGTACATAGTTATTGGAGTAGCCTAGACATTCTTTGTAAAAAAAGAAAAAAAATAATAAAACATTTAAATTAACTCAATCTTAATTAAATAAAATGGTAGAAGCAATTTAAAACTCAGTTATCAATTTCAAAGCTATTCTAAACAACATGCAACAAAATTAAAAGAAAAACTAATTTAAAACACACTTGTTGGAATACCTTAAAGGAAACCAATTTGTAAACCACTGAATGCCTTAAACACTTTTGTAAGACAAATGAAAAAAAAATCAAACATGTAATTTAATTCAGTCTTAACTAAGTAAAATGCTAGTCATCCATCTTAAAACTAATGTAAACAACATGTAAAAAAACTAAAACCAAAATTAACTTCAAAAACACTTCAAGGAATACTTTTAAAATTTTATGAAATTGCTAGAATACATTAAAGTTTTCTTGCATGAAAATGACGTAAAATGTCAAACTTAAGAAAATATTATAAGCAATTTAACAAATTAAACACACAAAAATAATCAAGCCAACCAATACCTTATTCAAAACAAACAAAAAGAAACTTCAATAATCTTTAACAATCCCTGAAATAAACACAAAAAAAAATCAATGAAACATTTAAAAACCCAAATCACCAATCAATTTTAAATAAAAATTGACTAGTATGCAAAAGATTAAATATTATAAAATTTGGACATACCCTTCAAGAAGCAAAGAATCCAAATAAGAAAAAGTTAATATCCAAACTTCAAAAACATAATAGGTGAAAAACAAATTCTAAAAAAAAAAAATCTAACCAAAGTCAGAATAAAACCCCAAAAAAGAAAATGAAGAGAATGAAATAGATAACAGTGAATTCCAAAACAAAATGTTCTCACGTTTTTGCCTCGTTCTCTGGTGATGATAATTTCAGAAAATTTAAAATATGAAAAATACTTCCATTGGAAATGCCATGAAACAAATACAGTTAAAGAGCTCGCAGTTATTTATTTATCCTTTTTTTTTAGTTTTAAAACAAAATCTTTTTTTTTATTTGTTTTTTTTTAAAGTCATTTGGATTATTAAAAAATACA